CTTGATTTGAAAATCAAAATGGTAGACAACACATTCCAATTAAAAAGGGGAATATCTAGAGAACGAAAAGTGATGTAGAATAACTGTACACTGCATTTGCCTGCATTTGTGGAACTCTTTCATATGGGGGCATGATGTTAGGCCAGACTTTCCTTCAATGTCAGCATCTTCTATGTGCATGTTTACAACTATTTGCATTAATGCATTGACACATAGGAAGCACACAATGGGTGTTTTTCCGGTTAGTGTGTCTGTGTATGTATGTATGTCTGTCTGTTCCACAGATATCTCAAGAACCAATTACTGAGTTTTAATAAAACTTGGTACATAGATGCTCTGAAATAATGCTCAGACCTGAATAATTTTTGGGTGAAATCCGTGCATATAAATGACCTAATTTACATATTAGTTTGCCAATATTTAGAATTTCCACCAATATCTCAGACACTTACCAGATTTCAATGAAATTTGGTACATATATGCTCTGGGATAAACCATATACATGTTCAGTTTAGGGTTAAATTTTATGCTCACTAATTGCCTAATTTGCATAAATTAACCAATTTATAGGTGCTCCACAGATAATTTGAGTACCACTCATCAACTTTCAATAAAACTAGCTACATACGTGCTTTTGAATAATCCCCAGAGCTGATTACTGCAGAGTTGAAATCCATTAATTATTTTATAAATATTAATTACCTTCATGTGTCCTTAATATGCAGTACTGCTGCAATTAGTGACATGCAACTAGTGCTTTAATGAAGGTATCTGACAATGTGATATGACTAATGTATCAGATGACTATATATGGTCGTATGACTCAAATAATATGCATATCATGTAATATCTTAAGTAATGTTGCAGACAGGGTCTGAGGGACAAGCAACTGATGCTATAATTTTGTTGTCTGACAAGATATATGACCAACATATCAAGTCATCATATATGCTCATTATTTCATTAAATATTTTTTATCCATAGGTACGTGGAACCACCCTGATCATTGCTTGCAGTTATCTTTTTAAATGCCACATTTGCTCTATTAGAAGCACATGTACTTCCTGTAAATAGCAATGAAAAAGACAAGTCTATGTAAAAAATAAGACATTTCAATCATTTTGCATGCAATAAACACAATTTCTGCATTATGAATTTTGAAGATGTGTTTGTAATATATTATATAAAGTATTCCTTATTTGTACTTCATGCCTCCATTACATTCAGCACATGCGCATCATCTCGTTTGTGTTTTGCTGGTCAGGATAAAAATTATATTTACTCTAGTATTTGTGTTTATATGCATTACCTCATATTTATACACAAATACTGTGTGTTTAACTTCAGCTGTAGTGCTGCCTGTGTTTATGCATATAAGCTGTGTCTATAGGCATACAAAGCTTGTTTCTGTGATATCTCTAAAACCTCAGTACTAGTCGCAAATATTAAACTACATAATTTCCATACTAGTTAAACCATTAACAAACGACATAAACGTTTGCATATTTAATTAAAACTATTATATCTCATTATTTCACTTATTTCTAATATTATTTCAGATGATAAAGTAAACGAAAAGCCGCAGTTTGGAAAAATCAAGTCT